CTCTCTCTCTCTCTCTCTCTCTCTCTCTCTCTCTCTCTCTCTCTCTCTCTCTCTCTCTCTCTCGTCTCTCTTTCTCTGTCACAAGTTCGCACAAGTGGATAACGCCGACGTACCGCCGTAACGCTACGTTCGCCACGGCGAAGGTGAGCCGCACGTGGACGAGTGTGTCGTGTGTTTTCTCACACGCAAAAAGATCCTCCAGAGAGGGTAGGGTCGTAGAGTGGTGGTGGCGGAGCGAGGCCGAGAGCTTTTGCCCGGAACGGAAGCATCACGGGTGGGAGATGGATATAAGCCCATCGTCCGGGAATAATGCTATCAGTGACTTTGCGCTACAGTCTCACATACAGTACACGCGGAACAGCCGAAACGTGGAAGCGTCATGCTGAAGGTACGGAGAGAAGATTCGCGATATGACACGAGTGTGGTATGAACGGGTGGTTGAGTGATTGCTGCGAGTGTGAGTGTGCGCGTTGAGGTCCTTCTTGCTGGTCGAGAGAGGCTTCCGACATCGCCACCGCGTTTATCATCCCGATGTGGATCACTCCTTGTCTCTCTCTCTCTCTCTCTCTCCCCCTCCCTCTCTCTCTCTCTCCTCCTCTTCCTCTGCTTGTTTCTCTCCTCTTGCTCATAGGGTGCCATTGCACGCGGAACAGGTGTATAGGAATTACGAGGTAATTTTCGTGCCGACAGAGCGAAAGAGATTCGAAATGCCGATTCCTTGCCGGCAATAAAGTGTAAAATGTGATCAATGACGAGATAAAATCGCTCCCCTAGAAAATTTGAAGCTCTTAATATTGCAAAATACTGTATGAGCGGACTTTTATCCATTCCAAAACATCTCAAGTGTGTTATTTCTTTGCATATTCCTCTCGCTACTATCGAAAATGCTTGTTTCGTCGAATAGTTATTTGAGCATTAATGTATCGAGATACGCAAGTATTTTCGCCGAGGGTGTAGCGATAAACCTTTTGCAATGTACCATTTACATCGCTTTACATCCGACAACAGGAACCACTTCCGCGGCATTAAATTGACTTACCGAACTGCGGGGAGCGAAGTCGGCGTGAAAGTGGAAAGGATACACATTAGCTGAACTTCCGAGCCGCGGCCGTAACGAAACACAACAAGTATCCGGAAACTTTTCCGTTACATCAACCCCGATGACTCTTCAAACCTGGCCTCAATCGACATCCTCGCGCACGTTGACATCAATCTTTCCTTTTTGATCGTTTAAATCTCGAACGAATTCAACGATCCACTTTGTAATTGACGTACCGGCGATGACGGCTAGCAATTAGCGATCGACGACAATGAATTCAATTGGTCTTTCCATCGCAGAAAGTTTTTACGACAGAAGATTGCGTCTTTCAGACAATTTCTTTCTTCTGTGCCGTCTTGGCTTGCGGTAACGCGGTCGTTCTCAGCGGCTACAACGGCGGCCATGGCCTGTCCTACAACGACTACAGCGATCTCGATGGATATCTGGGAGCCGCCGAATACAAGGTTTTGCCGACGGTCGCGGTCCCGGTGCACGCAGTGTCCGCCGCACCGGTGCACGTCGACGCGTCCCTAGATCACGGCCTGCACGGTTACAAACACGACACCGATCACGATCACGACTACTACGTGAGCACTCATTTCCTCCTCTCTAAGCGCCGTTCGCTCTTTCATCACAGTTTCGCAACGCGTGGTGTCGGAAACGTGAAAACTTTGTGAAAACTTCGTCGTATCGCAAGCTTAACAAGAATTCTCCAACTTGATTATTATCAAGTGTTGTAAGCGTCGCGCGATTGATGCATCTTCCTTCACTAAAGCACCGTTTCTGCTCGCTCGTTCTCTAATTAGCAAAATTTGACACGAATCCACGAGAGCGGTTCCGTCGTTTTGAATGGAAACTCGCGTATAGTGCCTTACGAGCGGAAAGATATTTCCAGTCGTTTGTAGCGTATGTTAATTTAAATTACCGTCTCTGAAAGAAACAACTGCGGTGCTTCCTATAGTACTTCCTAGCCGCATCTCATTGCCGGCTCTCTTTCCGCATCACTGATCTTGTCGTCGCTTTCTCGCAATTGTCATTAATTGTCATTTAAAGTCGCGCTCCGTATAATAGTCGCGACAAATGGAATACAAGTCGAACGGGAAAGAATTTGTTCAATTTCTGTCAATTAGGTCGAACATTTTTTGAGCGAATCTTTTCGCTTCTCTCTTGCAAGAATTTCAAATAACTGACAATTTCCTATTCGGAGAAGATTCCGAGAAGGAGCTTCCAAAAAACAACGAGAATTTAAGTCGAATCTAGTTGATTCGACTTAAGAGTAAGATTTGAGGCAGCGTGTTGAACATAGTGACAACGCGGTTGTGTGAAATTTTACATGTTGGAAGTCTAAAAAGAGGAGAATGGAATCGCTTCTTTAGCCGCGAATTCGCGTTTTAACTTGCGATTTTAACCGCATTCTTACAGTCACACCCGAGATACACCTTCAATTACGGCGTACACGATCCCCATACCGGCGACGTAAAAACGCAACATGAAGTGCGCGACGGCGACGTCGTTCACGGCTCGTACAGCGTCAACGAGCCCGACGGAAGCGTGCGGATCGTCGAGTACACGGCGGATGACCACAATGGATTCAACGCCGTGGTGAAAAAGGTTGGACCGGCGTTGCACCCGAAGCCAGTCCCGATCGTCAAGTACGTCTCACCGGCATACTACAACAACTACGACGACTACGAGAAGCATTATTAATTGATACAATAAACGTCGTGCAAATAGAGTCGGCTGTTTCGCTAAAGGGCATCGATAGACGTTTCTATAGTTAATTACAGAAAATATTTGCAACTAGAAGCGGGATTGTCGAAACGTATCGATTATTTGCTTTTGTTGTTCCGCGCGGTGACTTTTGCCACTTGATAAATAAAAAAAAGGAAAAGAAAATTTGTATCTTCTAAATACCGAAACGTACAAGTAATTTTGTCTTTCTTTTTTATTTCGTTTCCCGATGCCCCGTTCCGAGACGTTCGATTACATGTAACAGCAACGGCAGCGCAAACATCAATTATTTTCAAATAATAGAGAGATAGTTGTATCTATTTATTTTTGGACGCGCTTCATCCAACGAATCGCGAATCGCATCGAGAGATCTCTCGCGTGTGTGTCCTTCAAGAAAGAAGCGCCGTTTCATTTACGACGGAATTGAATTTGAGATGTAACCGCGCATGTCAGAGCTATCGATTTTGCTTGCAATGCGCGACTGCGGCGTAATAACGTAAATTTCACCGGTTCTCGAGACATTACGAAGAGAAACTCGCAAGTCTTTCCAAGAGAACCCCTCTCGTGCATTCGGCTTTAGGTGTCAAACACTACTCGAATTGTCCTAGTGCTGTGAACAATTTAGAAACTGTTACGAGGAGGAAAGTATGTATACATAATTTGGTGGCTCGTATAGAAATCGTATTCCATCTGTTTGTGTACCGAAGGAAACATAATCTCATACTTAGCGAAATACATTTATGATTTCAAGAGGATTCTTTCAAAATATTCCAAGAACTATTTTACACCTTTTTATCAAAAGAGGAATATCCTTTCCGTTTTCACTTGAAATATAGGATTGCAGAAAATCAAGCACTTTGCAGCTAAGATCTTTTTTTTTTTAAATGTTGGAATGTTTTGGAAGAATCCTCTCGCGAGATCATCTATAAGAAGATTCTGCTATGGATGGATATATATATATATATATATATATGTGTGTGTGTGTGTGTGTGTGTGTGTGTGTGTGTGTGTGTGTGTGTGTGTGTGTGTGTGTGTGTACTTTTTTTCGATAAAAGCTCTCGCAACTTTTGCACGGCAGTATGTAGTTCAGCTTTGAAATTGGGTTAGAAGTTGGCCATCACGGAAATTAACGAGTCCGATTAGTATTAAAAGCGAAAACAAAGCGAAAGGAAGCAGTAAACGTCCCGATACGAATAAAATCGTCAACTAGGAAATAATTCGTGTTAAAAATAAATAAAGTAGATGTTGAGTCTTTTACATCCACGCGGGTGCGCATAATATTTGAGGTAGCGGCGCTACCGCGCATCGCTCGAGACAAATTTGCGACTTAAGAATATCACATAAATGTTCAATGGCCGAACTTGTAGAAAGAGGCCCATAACAACAGCGATGCGAAATATTTTTATGGACCGAGATAATAATACAATCAAATTAGTCACTTGTGTGTTTTATTTCATTTCATTTGACGTTGCACGTGACGCAGATTATCGACCTCTCAATCTATCCTTCGATAGACAGGAATTCGACCGTAACGTAATAACGGCGAGTATTGTATATATATCAAGTAACAAACTTTTTTGATTATAAAATACAACGGCAAATGATTCGCTCTTAATTAGCAGCTTCTCTGATAAATTGCGCTGTAGGCAAAGTCACTTAATCTATCCGATAACTATCTCGATGATTGTGTCAACAAGTTTTGCATATATGACATCGCGATTAATACTACGCGCTTGTGTACACGCATTCGCACGAGGAGGCGTGCGCGCACGAGAGAGAGAGAGAGAGAGAGAGAGAGAGAGAGAGAGAGAGAGAGAAATCCTCGCGCACGCTTCTCACTTGTTTCATTTTTACGATAATCTGATCTCTTCGTTCAATTACGACTGTCGAGATTGTACATAAGTAGTGCTGGAGAAAGAAACTGTTACATCTTGACTTTTTAAGCGGTGGATATGGTACGTTTTAGGGAATATTCAAGAGCATCACTTGAAGTTGTGTTTTATCGCTACACGTATGTCGGTGATAGATAAACGATGTCCAACGGGACAAGAAATATCAGTGAGAGAGAAAAACAAAAAAAAAAATAGGAGGAGGTAGAGCTAGAAATAGAACGAGGAATGGTGTACTTACCGCAGACTCCTGATAAAGCTTGTGGGCAATAATACTGGTGCTGTCGAACATATCTTTGCCAGGACCGGAAGCGAAGCACATCTCATTCTTTCCGGGACATGTGTATTGATCGGAGCAGTTTTGTCCAGAGAATTCGCACTTTGGACCACGTGTATTTGGTGAAACGTCACCGAGATTGCTCGATGCAAAGGCTGCTACAAAGGGACCCTAACGATGTCAAAGACAAGAAAAGTATCATAATGCGCGCTTGGACCGCATACTCCTTAATTCATTACTTGAATTCTCTTTATACGATTCTATTGTGTCAGTTGCAGTTTAAATTCTCAACTAAGAATTTCTTCAGGTTAAAAGAGAAGAGATACACGTGTGTAAATAATAAGTATAAAAAGGTGAATACGCGCGACTGTATGACAATACCGTAATATGTTAATCTTACAATGAGCTGTGGTTTATTTTGCGAGCGGAAAAATCAAATTACGATTAACCCTCGATCGTGCATAAACTTTCAGATATTCCCAAGTTAATTCGCGGTAATGTCGCAATATGCTTACGAAGCGAGTCGTATGCACCGCGCTGTGTGTGCATCGTCACGTACGTTTCCAACAATTTGGTCGCGCGTTCAACATTTTTTTTTTTCCTTCATTCTTTTCTTTCTTTCTTATTTTAACTGATCCTAGTTGGAATCTAAGCACAAATTACTATCGCGACACCGCAGTTACAAGATAATTATATCAAATAAAGGAAATAACGTAGCGTTTCCGCAACGCAGCATTAAAAGTTGTGCAGCGTAGGAAGGCCAAATGAATTCAGTTTGAAAGAGAAAAAGAGATAATGACACACGCAATTCCTTGTGAACACGAGAGGACAAAAGCTCGTGAAACCATCGTCTATATACTACAACGTACAGTATCCATGCAATTGCGCATTGAGGTAATCTATTTGCACATGAAAATGTTCATGTACTAAATTTCGATGTGCGATTGCACATCGAAATGTTATAAGAAGCGACGATATCATTCGATATAGATGTATTTGCGATAATTTCGGCATTGGTACATGTTTCAAAAGGCCGATTGGATCCTAAATGGAGCGCTAGCATTCTCGCAATGTACTTGCGACAGTATCGCCAGAAAAGTCTCACCTTGCCGATTGTAGCGTTATTATTCATCATTTTCTCAAATAGGATCGAGGCATAACCCACGTTGTCACTGGAGACTAAGTGATTGGTATTGTTCATGCTAGTTGGATGCACAGCGAACCAATTTATAACACCCAGAGGCTTGTCGTCAGCACCGATGAATTGTATTTGTGTCAGTGCTTTGTCCACGTCATGCTCATATCTGGAAATGGACGACAATATTTATGTGTATAATATCAGAAATATTTTTTACTGTCGACGAAATACTAAAAATGTCAATATATCGTAAAATCGATACTGTCGACACCGTTGGACAATGCAATGCGAATGCGATGCATCTGTTCGTCTTACTGCAAACGGTAACACCATACCACATTCGTCTAAAGCAGCGAAGCGAATTCCTTCATTTGAAAAAAATTAGTAAAAGAAAAAAAAATAAAAGGAATAAAAAGAAAAAAAGAAAAAAACAGCGTAGAAATGAATCATGTAGACTCCTTATTTGTATAGACTCACTTATCTCTTTCTGATTTCGGATTATTAAGATATGCCTGCGGACTCCTGTTAATATTGACGCCTAAAACTTGACCATGAGCAATGAAGATTCTTCCAGGCACAACGGCTTCGTGAGCACGTTCGATGCTCTGAAATGTTATCAAACGTTATCGATCGTTATCTTTAATCGTATCAATCTTTCACGATTGTACAAAATCTGTTCGCTCACTTTTGTTATGCCATGGACAATGGCATTGAATGTTTCCCTCATAAAACCGAATGCGGTCAAGTCAAAAAGCATATCGAGCATAAAACCACCGGGACTGGAGTGAGTGTGCGTGCCGCTAATCATCACATTCTTCTCTGTGTACGTGTCGCCAAATTGGCCCCGTAATTTGCGCAGTACCTGCGTTGAAAAGCGATTGCGTCATTTAATATCTTGTGATAGTGATCGTATTTCGACACGATCAAGAAAATAACACGTTGATACCATAACATAAACGCATTTATCAGCACGTCTCGTACTGATGACACACAATATACGGAAACGCAATTAATCCTTCAGTGTTGTGCGTGATTTTCGTTCAATGAATCGAAATCTCGCTCTTCTACTTTCGGCCATAACGGTCGACTCGTGTATACAGATTTCAAGAGAGATCACACACAAGATCATACAAGAGATGAAAATAAAATCAACAGTAGGATAGAATAATTTGTGTGAAATTAAAGAAAGAATAAATATACGTTACCTCTTGCCGAATGTCATTTCCTATCATTCCACAATCAACGCTGACAAACACGAATCTTTCCGTACCATCATCAATTATAAAAGCTCTGGCGTATGTCCGTAGATGAAGACCGCTACCCTTCTGATCCAATTTCGCGTATCCCATCTGAAATGCACAAAATTGTGGCATGTGATATTTTCTCTCAAATTCTGTCATATTCACTCTTACATTGCAAATACATCTTGCAATTTTCCTGAATAATTTTCAAGGGATAATGTTCCATTAATGTTATTGTGTTACGTGCCAAAATATTTATTTTGGCAAAGCTTCGGAGCACTATGATTTTGATATGTAGTCACTTGCAATTTGCAAATATATATATATATATATATATATATATATATATATATATATATATATATATATA